GGGGGAGGGAGAGGGGGACCACATGGTGCTCAGCACTTTAAAAGGCCCTGCTGAGCAAAATTATTAATCCCATTGTAACTGATGAACAAAAGAGAATTTCGATATTAGTTTTAAGGTCACTTTCAGTGCAGTGTTTTGCTCCAAAATAAAAAGCTGCCGGATTTTTTTGCATTTAAAATAGTAAAATCGGTATTAATAGCGTTAATTCAACAGAATAGAGTGTGCATTGTTAAGAAAAGGCAAAAAATTACTTCATCATTAGCTGATAGTAACCGTGTTGCATCAATTTAACTGAATATATACATCTTTTTTACGAGGCAAATGATTTAACGAAATTCCTCCAATTTATTTTCCAAGTTAAGAACCCAGAGAATAGTGAATGACCAAAGTGCAGAAGTATATGAATTCTCGGTTTGGGTATAATGAAGAGCTTTTGTTTTAGGTTGCTAAATAGTTGCAGAATTAGCTTCCGGTTGTGAAGGTCAAGGAGAACTGATCCGGAAGGGGGGAGTTGGATAATTATTAAAAGATTTTACTCGCTCAAAATTTAATGTTCGTTTGCTTCGGAGTTTTTGAATTACTACATCCAATTCGAGTATTGGGTAAAAGTTGTGTAGAATCTTTGGGTAAAGGAGTGATCCAAACTGTTTTTCAGTTTATTTAACATCTGGATTCCAGGAATGCACAAAAGATATTTAATAAGCTCAAAATATTAAAAAGGCACTTTTACAAGCTCCCGAAATTTATTAATGTCAAATAACAGGCTTTATGATAGTTATTATGGGGCGTGCGATAGACTTACCTCCACGTGATGCACCCTAGGCAACGTATACTCATGCGGCAAAAAAGTCTATAAACCGGCAGTTGACTTCTGAGTTCAAGCTATCATGACCCCACTGTATGTCACATTCGACCACTTTCACAGTACTCATCTCACCTTTTCCACTTTTGTGTCTGTCTCTTTTACATCTTTGAAACTCTCTTCTGTTCCCCCCCCCGGATCTCGACTTGTTTCACCTTGATGTTCCTACTCCTCTGTGAAGCATGAAGTCAACTAAAGGGCTAATGATAGTTATCAAAACGCCTGCCATTTGATATAAATGAATAGTATTTGGGGAGATCTTTATGAGGAAATACTTTCCCTTAATCTGTGTTTCTTAGGCACCTCGGTCTTCTACATAGGCAATTTACAAAGGACAGAAACTTGGAATGGGTAAAGAAGCGGACAGTTATGTAAGTTGGTTTCCTTTGATTTCTCTATTTAGAGATAACCCAAAATTTTTTGGTGCAATTAATTTGATCATTATCTACTCCGGTGTCCTGTTAAGTATTCTAAAAAAATTTCTTACCTGTTTCATATCTCAGATGTATGCTCTTCAAGGAGGTAAGTTGTTTGAAATATCCAGTCACTTGTAATGTTATTTACGCTCCATCTACTTGTATCAATTTGACACTTCATCACATGACCTGATGGGCATCAACCACGGCGTCTTTTTGTCGCAGAATGTTTTTTTAAATTAAACCATCTCACCAAAATGCGGGAAATATCACTAAAAAATCTTATTGGTCTGACAAGGGTGATTTGAGCGGTCTTTTTGTCATCAACCGTCAATTTACGAGCACAAGGTGAGCCAAGTGTTTAGAGACCCTTCGAACTAAATTTCACCAATTTGTCACTTTATGCCACAATATACGGCATCTTTCCCAGGGCCCCAAATTGTGCAGTTGGAATAGTAACTTGATGGGAGATGTGTAGCTTTTAATGATGTCACTTATTTTCTGGGTTAGTTGAGCAAATCTGCAAGACTCAGCTCTTGAATAACTAAGGATCTTAACGTGAGTTATGTGCGAGAAGTATGTTCGAGTTGATTCATGCCCCTGGGGTGAGTGTTTCAAAGGATGCTGGATCATTTTTTCAAGTGCAGAGGTTTGTATTCGTGCACGTCGTCTCGATAGTGTCACAAATTAGCTCTACAGCGGGAGGAATAAAAGATTCCATCAATGTTTTGGTATATTTTTGCCAAAAAAGCAATATATCCAAAAGGGGGCAAGTACTTTTCTATGAAATGTCATTATAAAGGGGCGAAATTAACAGTGAACTCACCAAGTGATTTGTTTTGTCTGAAAAAAAAATTATGACAGAAAGGAAGGTAATGGCTCTCGTGCCTTGATGGTAATATTTTAAATACAAAATCCGAAATATTTTGTGCGTTTGATTAAATATATTATTGCTGAAATATTATTGAATGTCACAAAGCTTATCTATTGAGCAACGAGGCTATTTGAACAATTAATCTGATATAACTTTCTTGTAACTTCTAATCTTTTATGTGAAGAAATTAGCAATATAATATATTTGCTTCGACACCTTATTTCACTTCCAATTCCTTTACAGAAGTAACACAGACGAGTTGAAGGTCTACCAATGAGTCTTGTCTGATACTAAACTTTAGAATTTTAAGGTCATGTAACCTATTAATCCCTATTCATTCTATAAATGCAGCCTTAGTTCTCAGAATAACATAAGTACGCTGGAACGAACCATATTTATTTATTT